TTTTTTTTAACGTAGAGATAAAAATCATTATTCGCTCTACTGCATATATGGATAATCCCCTCCGCTTTTCCAAACGTAAGGAAAAACTGCCCTGTGCCAATCAAAACGTAACTGGAGCACGAACAAAAATCCAACTACCCATCCACATTTATATGTTTAAAGGATTAGACAATTACAAGGGATTGGTTAAGCGGCTGAATAAAGCGAGGCAGAAACACAGCCCAGGCTCCGCTGGATTAGCCCAAATTTTCGAGCCATCATAATGAATTCTTTTTCAAACACTACCGAGCCATTTTCCTCGTTATTCCAGTCAATCCCGAGGAACGCGCTGCCCGTAAGGCGATCCCCGGCTGCTCCGGTGTCTGTGGCACGGCAGAGCAGCCGAGGATCGCACACAGGAGAGAGGGGATGTGGTCCTGCGAGAAACCAGCTCGCCATAACCAGACACACTCGGTTTCAACTTAAAGGGCTTCCAACAACCACCGCTTCACCAGACGGGGATAGACACACGTAGATCATTTAAGGAAAAAAAAAAAAAAAATTACACAACAAAAACCAAACAACCAAAAAAAAAAAAAAAAAAGCCCGAAAAACAACAACAAACCTATTTCAGCATGCAAAAACACAGAATTAAGAAAACCGCTTGAAAATGCAGTTCCGTGACATTATCGCGGCAGCCCCCCGAGCTCCTCGCGTTTCATCTAAAACTAGATTATGATTGTGTCATTTGAGGTCAATACATTTATTCACTGGAGGAATCGCTACACAAATCTGGTTTTATAACCGAACTGGATAGCAGGCTTCCCTGTTAAAAAGGGCCTCTGAAACTCCCCCACCACACCACAGAAAAATCAAATTCAGCATCACATTTGTTCCCAAAGCCTTAGGAGCTGCAAGATTAGCTATAAACTTGACATTCACTGCCATTTCCTAAAACTGGGAGTCAAAACGATATATGTTATGACCACTTACGTATTTCTTTTGAATTATATTCCTCTTGGGTCTTTCTTTGCTCATTCTGGTATCCAAATTCTGATTGCAAAAGGGGACAATTGCTTCATGAATTAAAGCCGAGACAATTAAAAAAAAAAATTAAAAAAAATACCGAAAAAATCCAGGGGGGAGGGGGTTGTTTGTAGTGGTATCTTGTAATCCGACTTTCTTTCCTCACAATGTGATTCTCCTAGCAATAAATCCGAGAAATGGGGGACGGAAGGAAAAAAAAAAAAAAAAAAAAAAAAAAAAAAGACGAATGCGAAGGAAACAAAAAAAAAAAAAATCACTTTAGTGAAGCATTATAATGGAAAATTTCCCCCTAAACACAAAAAACGACGCCCTTGATATCCCCTTTTCTCTTTCTCAAGCCGCCTAAGCGATCTGCAGGTCCTTAGTGTCAGAGCTGTAGTTACATCTTGGAGGAGGAAAGGGGCCGGGAGGAGAAGATAAATAATCGGGACGTTGGAAGTCACGTTTGTGCCGCTGCAGCAGGCAGGGAAAGCGGCAGGGACAACTCCAGCAGCGGCGGCGGCTCCGG